AACAGGTTGTATACCCTCCAAATTGTCTAGTTGTTGTCCGGCAGACACAATGAGACTCTGCACAAGTCCTACAACCATATGCTGCGGACGAGGCAAAATAGCAGCAAGTTGTTTCAGTCGGGCATCAACAGAATGCCGTTTCTGCAGTCCAGCAACAGGCTGGTTGGAGGTCGCAGCAGCAGGCTGTGTCCCCTTTATCGCGGCCTTGAAGGCCTGTTCGTATGTTGCTTTCGCAGCCTTTTCCATAGCAGCCCTTCTGGCCATCTCGCGCGCTTCACGCCTGGCAGTAGCGATTTCAACGGCTTCACCGGTTGTGTGGGGTGGTTGAGATAATGGAACAATAGGAGCGGGAGTGTGAAATTCGCTGGAATTTACCTCCTTATTCTTGTCTCTGTCAGCAGCATTCTGAATGTCATCATTCAGATTGTTCAGATTTCTGTCAGGATCGTTCATCGCGTCGATCATCGCTTCATCTTTAAGTACGATCTGGGCAGTCGCGATTTCATTATGGATATAGGAAATTTCGTCAGCCATCTCAGATTTCACTTCAAGATAGTTAGTAAATATGTAATATTGAAAATCGAGATGCTTCAATTCACTTCAAGATTTCACTTCAAGATAGTTATTTCATTATGGATATAGTTGCACGCGATCTCCTTGAAGCAAATTCGGCCCGCCACCGATTGCTTCTCAGGATAAAATAAATCGATTAGGGATTTACAATCCCACAACAAACTGAACCAAGAAATGATATAATTTTTTGGAGAAGAAATTAATAGGAAAGGAAAAACAGAGAGTCGAGAGCAGATTTTTTATTCACGTTCAGGTTTTTATTGGCTGTGTTCTTTAATTTCAGAAGAAGAATATTAAATCACGTGGCCACTGAAACCGTAATCACCTCCACATATTTCAATATTTGTTGTAACATTTTTTTATTTTTCCGATTAAAATTTGAAACAATCAAAATTAATTAATCAGATAAAATAAAATTTAAAATAATTGGAACTTCTCTTATTGGGCCCAGCCCACGAGCTCCCACGGCCCTATGGCCCAGGGCCCAATCTTGACTCTCTCTATATATATATAACCAATTCCAAGCCCAAGCCAAAGCCCAAGCCATTAACTCATCCAATCAATTCCCAATTGAACAATAAATGTGAATAAATGCTTATAAGAAGGTGGTGGTTTGTTTGTTCTTTCCATGTGGGACAAGGCCAATTTCTATTTATTTCTTTCTTTCTTTCTTTCTTTCTTTCTTTCTTTCTTCTCCTCTTTCACACACCGACAATCCCTCACATTGAAAGAGGAAATGACTTTTACTCGATGAAAGAAGAGCGAATTCTGCATAGGATAAGTAGGTTTCCCTTTGAACTTTCCTTCAGCAGCACGTAGGTTTACCAATTGTCGAGTGGACACGTTATCCTTGAACTGTTCAATTTCTTAGTAAATGAACTACACACCGACACAGAATCTACATTCCTAGTTCGGTTCTCATTATTTGGTCCATTTTAGCCATGAAACACATACTGATTTTGCAAGAGTTTCTAAAGAACTGAGCATGTGCAGTTCTCCTTTGAAGCGGCCTCACTTCTCTCTTACATAGGTGATCTATCTAAGTATCCAAATAATACAATACTCACTTAGTAATAATTAAAGAACTTATTTGCTATCCTCTCTACTCTGTCACTGTTCGTTGGCAGGAATTGGTTGAGGCTATTAGCCCCCGCAGTGACGCACATAAGTTTAATAGGCAGGTTGTCCCATTGAACCTTGTTCTTGGGATCTCCAATCTTTTTAGGTTAGGTTTTCCTTTATAAAACTTATATTTCGGCAAGCTTACTCCCCATTCCTCTAGTCAATTTGTACAGTGCATCACGATTTAACCCTTTGGTTAGCGGATCCGCTAGGTTATCCTTTGACGCAACATGGTCTATCGTAATAACCTTAGTTGTGATCAGTTGTCTTATGGATTTGTGTCGACGGCAAATATGTCGACTCTTTCCATTGTACATTATACTCTATGCGCTGTCAATAGTAGATTTAGTATCGTAGTAAAGAGTTATGGCAGAGACAGACTTGTCCCATTTTGGAATGTCCTCAAGGAAGTGACAAATCCATTATGCCTCTTCTCCAGCTTTGTCCAAAACAATGAACTCAGATTCCATTGTGGATTTGGCAATAATTTTTTGGTTTGAGGATTTCCAATAGATTGTTGCACCAGCTAGTGTGAAAACATATCCACTAGTTGATCTCGAATTAAGTGTGTCAGATATCCAATTGGCGTCTGAGTAGCCTTCTACTACAGCTGGACGTCTGTTGTAGTGCAGCCCGTAATCTCGAGTGTACTACCTAAGCACACGAACTATGGCTTTCCAATTCTCACGACTAGGATTACTTGTATACGTACTCAACTTGGTTATAGAATAACCTATGTCGGGTCTAGTGCAGCTCATTAGGTACATTAAGCTTCCAATTATCCGAGCGTATTCGATTTGGGATGCACCATCTCCACGATTCTTGGATAAATGGATACTTGTGTCAAGCGGAGTTCTCGCTATTCATGTATCATCCTTACTGAATTATTTGAGGATTTTGTCTACATAATGAGTTTGACTCAAAATTAGACCATTTGCGGTTCTTTTGATATTAATTCCTAAGATCACATCAGCAAGACCCATGTCTTTCATGTCAAATGTAGAATTTAGCATGTCTTTGGTAGACTTAAGGATATATTCGTTGCTACCAACGATAAGAAGAAGAAGATTAAATCACGTGGCTACTAAAACCATAACCACCTCCACACGTTCCAATATTTTTTGTAACATTTTTTTTATTTTTCGGATTAAAATTTGAAACGGTCAAAATTAATTAATTAGATAAAATAAAATTTAAAATAATTGGAAATTTTCTTATTGGGCCCAGCCCACGAGGTCCCACGGCCCCGAGGCCCAAGGCCCAATCTTGACTCTATATATATATATACCCAATTCCAAGCCCAAGTCAAAGCCCAAGCCAAAGCCCAAGCCATTATCTTATCAAATTCATTCCCAATTGAACGATAAATGAGAATAAATATTTATAAGGAGGCGGTGGTTTATTTGTTCTTTCCATTTGGGACAAGGCCAATTTCTATTTATTATTTTTTTTTTCTCATCTTTCACAGGCCAACAGTTTCTCCAATTTTATTAATTTCTTAGCCACTATATCTTTAATGAAGTGAAAATGTACATCAACATGTTTAGTTCTGTCATGAAACACGAGATTCTTACACAATTGATACTAAATCTAGTATCTAAAAAAATAGTAACAAAATTATGAAAATATCTGATTCGGAGATTAAACCTTTGAACGAAATCTTTTAGGATATTTTCAAATATATTTAAGGTAGAATATAAAAAAAAATGATATATGTATAGAAATAAAAATAAGTATCATGCATGTTCGTATAGTAACTCTGAAAATCTCATCAAAATAAAAAATATCTCTTTGATTGGTGAGTATCAAGGTCGATCTCAACGAATATGCCAATATGCTATGTTCAAGAGTGACACAATCATGATTATGAAAATTTTCTGGAGTCAAATGTTTTTTAAGTGTGAAGGTTCAGTAATTCTTAGAAAGAAGCTAAAGTAACAAAGTGGGAATAGAGAGAATCGAGCTTTTTACATTAGTTTGAGAAGATTGAGCTTCTTAAATGTCAGTTAATGGAGAAAAGTCATAAAAAGGTAAGAATCTATTGTTGGTAGGAATGACACTCTTTGGGAAATCATAGTATTTTGGAATTTGACGACTCGATTGATTTCAAGTGATCATACACTTACAAGAATGAAAGATTTGGTTGTGCAATAAATGATTGGATATGGTTTGGATTTCTCTTAAAGTGGAACTCACTTTAGGAGTCTAACATTTCCAATATTCTTCACCTTACACAAGAAAACTTTCAGAAAATTCTTTTAAGAACTCTAAATTATTATTTCATTTCAATAAAAGATAAATAATATGGGCTTTTTCTTTTTTAGGCTGAGATAAAAAATTTGCATGTCAAATTATGTTGGTATGGATTGAGATTAGAATTGAACGAAATGTTTTGACGTGGCATCATAGGTTTCAGTGTATGACTAACCATAACCTTTTAGCATTTAAGTGGAGAACTAAAGTAACGAATTCAATGAACTGTTAAACAGTTGAATATCAATGTTAATTACCAATAATATATCTAAACTTTTAATATAATTTTTTTTTTTGAAAAAGTCAATCATCTTGAAAATTTCAAATATAAAAAATAGATAATTTTAGTTTTTTGCTGTTGAATAATTCTTCTATGGTCGAAGCCATAACCTAAAGTAGAATCTTGCTGAGATGATGCCCCTAACTTCCCATTTCCACTGCTGGAATTTTTTTCCGAATATGACTATTTTATAAAGTAGTGACTAAGTGCCAACAAAACCAACAATTCTTGCCTAAGTAACTACTGGGACAACATTCATCCTTTCACTCACATAAATTCGTTTAATTCATGCTTTAATCACTTCATGAGAAAGTTTCTCACGTCTTCCCCATTGTTTACATTACAAATATCCAACCTCACATTGCTATCACTTATATCCATTAGCTCGTTGTAAATACACAGGTGCTTATACACATGTTGTTCGCTTAACAACTCACAATTTGTATTTGCTTCATTTATTGGTCATAGTGGAACACTGATTATAGATGTAACACAGGTTTGATCTAACAACCATGTACATTCCACAAAGGCAGCATCAACAATCTAACCGCCAATATAGACGAAGAAAAGCCATATTCCAAATACACGTATACAAATTGAAAATAAACCTTACAGGGAAAAAAGAAATGTAGCGGCAACCTAGGTTTATTTATTTATTTTTTTTTTTTTGGGGGGGGGGGCAGGAAGGTTAAATTTAAGTCTGGTCATGTACTGAGTCAAAACAATTTGAATTGGGTTTGGTGATGCCAAGACGCCAGCCTTGCAAAACGGTGAGGCGAGCAGCCTGGTGCTGCCGGTGCACTGCCAGGATGCCAAGGTGCCATGAAAATCATGATTATAATGCTCTAAACTAAAACTAAAATTTAAATAATATATGTTTCTGATGATCACCACAAAATACAAAATAACATCCTACAACATGTGCATAACACACAACCAACAACATCTTCTATAGAATTAATATCAAGATAACATATTCGGTTTACAAGCACCGTATACAGTTTTATTTATGCAGAATCGAACTCTGCATGTGGTTTCCTTTACTTCTCTCACGATTCACCCTCGTCATGGGGCAAGCAACCAAGAACAATCTGCAATTGAAGGAAAGATAATGTCATAAAAGACATATTTCTGGGATGAGTTGGCTACATATATTTATTTTGGCATCCGATTTCACAAATACATAGAAGAGAGTTAAGAACAAGACATGAGAAACAAGAAACAGAAAGAGACACAATACTATTGTATACAGTGGAACACTTGATTCTTTTCAATCAAATATTGTCACACTAACGGCTATGTAGAATGTAAGCATTCTATTCTAACTTATAGAATAATTAGACGTATATTTTATTAGTTATGTAGCAACTTTAGTCTTTAAATTAAATCCACATCTTTGGCTAAGTTAGGGCATTTAAATTCAGCTACAATAATTCCTCCATTAGTAATTAATTTTATTACATATTTAGTGGTGCCAAACGCAAACCTTCTTTCAAGAAAGGAACTAACCTCTACATAAGATGCAGCGATAATAGGTCCTGCTACGATACCGCCAAATGAAGTTCCATCTGGCCGAAATAAGGCTGTACTCAGCCTTCCATCATTGCCACTTTCAAGTCCACCTCTTGATGGAACAAAGGAACCGACCATTGAAAGAATTTGAAACGGACCCTATACACACACGCACAAAAAAAACAAATTATAAATAAAGATAGATGACCAACTAGAGAAACATGCTCCTAATCAAAAGGTACCGATATTTATTACTTGAAGATTAAATATTTAATTATACTTAAAAAAAAGTGCAATCCATAGCATCACATTGAATTGGCCATATAATTGATAAAACATCCAATTTAATGATTAGTGTGATTTCCAAATCGAATAAAATGGTTAGCATCTAAGACAAGTAGTTGAATAAAATGTCATTTAAATGAAACATTTTATGTAAGAGTGCAGATGGATGAAGCAACATTACATAAGCGCGTAGATAAACAGAATATAATTAAATAAACAAAATCCGAGAAAGAACAAGTAAACAAACCAAAGGTACCCTCCTAGCAAACTAGAATAAAAAATCAATATAGATGGTAGTAATTTAGGAAACCTCGTATATGCTGGGTTCGTCGTATTCTGCAGGTAGTCAGATTGTGGCGCGGGATAATGTCCCAGTGGTTGTTATTACGAAAACAATCCCTGGTTCGGTTGTAGTAGCATCTACAATTTTTGCTAATAGATCCTAAAAATATGCCAATAAGTTCAGTACATTACAAGTGGAAAGTGGTATGAATAAAACAAGCTCTTATCAAGGTAAATAAATTATTGTTTAATGGCTATGAAAAGATATATATATATATGTCGAAGCATCATCGTCAAAGCAAACAATCAATGCACTTGATTTATGTAGCGACATACTAAGTTACAAGTATAGCAATTTATGGCAAGTGCAATGATCTACACATTCATAACGCGTGGCATAAAATTACACGATATACATATAAATGCTGGTAGTGCAAGCAAATCATACAAAGTAAACAAAAACACATGTAATCTCAAGAGTTTGAACATGGGAAATCATTAGTATGTCGAAATATATAACCTCTCCTTCATTGACTGAGAGAATCTTCATTTTGAAGTTTTCGGCATTGGAAGAGTCTGCAAGGACAATTTGTCAGGAGTAACATTTAGGGTTAGATCAAATTCTTATAGTTAGATCACTATTTTATAAAATGCAAAGAGATAATAAAAATCTCTTGAAGATTAGATCTTATGCTTACCTGAGGAGTTGTGCCCGGCAGCAGCGTTGGAGGTCGACCCACCCACAGCGGCGGGGGCAGGGTTGGAGGTCGACCCACCCACAGTGACTGGGTTGGAGGTCGACCCACCCACAGCGGCTTGGGTGGAGGATGCATTCCGCAGCCTTAGCATGGGTAACATTCTGAAGACGTATGGGGTTTGCCTTGTTCGCGCCATAGATTGAGAAGGAAAATGGGAAAATTAAACCGTCCTACTTTGTAAAGTATCTGCGTAAAAACACTAAGTTCAGGAGATCAGAAATTAGTTCAGAAAACCTCTACAAAAATGGACTTCATATTCGCAGTTCTTTACCTCCGATTAAGAATGGCAAAAGATAATGAAGACGCAGGACTTTAGGGTTTAGATTAGAAATTTAGTTCAAAAACCTCTACAAAAATGGACCACAGACTTGCTTTTGACCTCCGATTAAGAATGGCGAAAGATGAACGAAAGGCAGGACTTTCGGGTTTAGATCAGAAATTTAGTTCAAAAAACCTCTAAAAAAATTGGACCACAGACTTACTTTTTACCTCCGATTAAGAATGGCAAGAGATGAAGGAAGACGCAAGACTTACGGGTTTACAAAATGCTGAGAAGTAGGCAAGACCTAGGCCTTGATACATGTATATATATATCTTCATCCCAATAGACTAATCTCTCAAAACAAATTTGGCCTATTTAACCCAAGTTTGGATTGGTCCAAGCCTATTTATAATAGAAATATCAGTATACCCAACATGTGAATAATACACAACTAACAAATTTGGGTTCGCCATCTTGCATGATAAGATCCCAGTGGTTGTTATTATGAAAACAACCCCTCGTTCAGTGCAAGTAACATCCAATATTTTTTTTTAATATCTGAAAAATATGCAAATAAGTTCATTATATTACATATAGAAGTGATAGGAAATAATTATTCTTTAACGGCTACGGAAAGAAAACTATATGACAGAGCATTATCGTCAAAGCAAATAATCAATGAGTTCATTTATGCTACTTACTATAATATGAGCGTAGCGATTTATGGATAGTGCAATGATCTACACAACGTAGCTTGGCATAACATTATGTGATACACATAAATGCTTATAATGCAAACAAATCGTACAAAATCAGATAAAAACATTTAAAACACATGCAATCTCAAGATTTGGTATATGAGAAATTATCAGTACGTTGAAATATATAACCTCTCCTCCGTTGACCGTGAGAATTTTCATTTTGAAGTTTTCCGAATTGGAAGAACCTGCAAGTACAGTTTGCATACTTCGATCACAATTTTAAAGATACAAAAAGATAATAAAATTCTCTGGAAGATTAGATCTTATGATTTCCATTGAATAATATTAATTACTAGAGGAGTTGGGCCCGGCAGCAGGGTGGGAGGTTGACCCACCCACAGCCGCTGGGGCGGAGTATGCAGTCGGCGCCATTGCCTCTAGAGCTTCTTCTGGAGACGAGGTTTTATTTCTTTTATGTGTGCTATAGTTCAATCTGAAAAATTAAACCTTCCAACATTGAAAAGTTACTCTTATGAAAATATGGACCGATAGATCGATTTAACAATGAAAACCACACGAAATCAAATGAAACAAATATAATTTAACTCAGCCCCTAATAAACCCACTTACATACGATTTGAACAAGATGACAAGAACGACACCCAAAGATGCGACCAAACAACTCGGTTGCCCCTAACTCTTGCAACTATGGATCTACAACTATTTCGAAGACAAACCTTATATTTATTTGACTAAGAGTGGACAAGAACACATCACTCACAAATCACTCAAAGAACAGTCCAACAAAGGGACGTAGGAGACACGGTCAGTCTGCTCGTCATGGAAAACAAGATCACCGGTTCTCAAACTCTATAATGGGTTGGGCCTAACACATGTTAAAGTATATCCGGATTAGCACTATCTATGTAAAAATATGGATAATGATAAACTCTGTCTACTCGGATAGACATCAACTTGGTCAAGGGGCAATCTGGGCATTCTTGGAATATTTTGGAATGTTCCGGGAGGTTACTATTAGCCCATTCGTTCTCGATAGCCTTTTGATTCAATACTCAGCTTGATGTTGGTCATGAAAAGAACCTCATCAGATGAATGTGGATCAGCCAGACAAGTGGAGCCTTAGAAAATTAGCTTGGTTCTTACACTTGGGCTTTGGATAAATTTGGACCTCAAATATCACATGTCGAAATTAACCGTACTTCCCCTAGCTTTTTGTCTTAAAATTTCATTGATTGTTTACGGTATTCATTGCTAAAAATAAAATTACACTCTTACCTAAATAAAACAAAATAGTCGGTAAATAATTTTCAAAAATTGCAACACATCATTGAAACTTACAACTACAACAAAAATAGGTACTATGTTAATAATATGTATTACAATATATACTTTTCATGCACGACTCAAATTTAGTAGAAGATAATACTTTTCTCCAATTTTTATTAATTCTCTAGCCACTATATCTCTAATGAAGTGAAAATGTACATTAACATGTTAAGTTCGATCATGAAATTCAAGATTCTTACACAATTGAATACCGGACCTACTATTTAAAAATAGTAACAAAATTATGCAGATAACTGATTTCAGGGATTAAGCCCTTGATGAAAAGGTTTTGCTAGATTTTTTAAATATATTTAAGATAAAGTATACAAATAATATATGTATAAAAATAAAAATAAAAATAAATATCATAGGTCTTCCTATATAGTAATTCTAAAAACATTGTCAAAATTAAAAAATTTCTTTGACCGGTGCGTGTTCAAGTCGAACTAAGAGAATATGAGAATTTGATATGTTTGATTAAAAAAAAAAGTAAAATGAATTAATACAATCGAAGGGCTGAAAATAATCTAGCTTCTAAAACATAATTTAGTCTAACTTTAAAAACAATAAAACATGTCTAACAGGGTAGAAATTGGATAAAACAATGGATACAAGTGATTGTAACGTGTAAGCGAGTATTTAAGTGATAGAGAGGACGGAGCAAGGTGTTTATGTATTTCCGGTGACTCATGACTTGATTGGTATTTGACCTAAGGGATTACAACGAAACTTTACATCCATAACCAATAATATTATTTCTAAGCGAAGTCGTTGTCACCGGACCAATATGCAAACACATATGTCTTATTAATCATTATCAATTTGTTTAACTAGTGGCCCTATCCCTCTGATCTTTTTCTTTAATTGAGGTTAAATTAAACTCGTAACTAAGCAGGTAGATAAGGCTTTGTCGTACATAATTGCTACCTATACCCTCTTAACAAGGCAATGCGGGCATAGACATAGATAGTTAAGTTTCATAATATTATCATGAATCTAATTTAAACAACTCAAGTGTGAACATGAAGATTTATCCCTAACCACATAAATTGTGTCTTTTTAATTTTCTACATTACTCTCGGATTAAGAATTTATTGTATTTTTTCTGTCAGTTTCAAAACAATTAACTTAAAAATTATGAGAAATTGTGATCTTTTTCCCCACTAGCTGCGGCTCATTGTTAAGGTATATAATTTTATGACATTAAGTCATCCACAGTCATTTCTACTACCGGAATTGGAAATAGCACATGAGGAGCATGTGTGATGATGCGGCAACATTAAAGCTTTGATGGACTTTCCAGAGCAAATGTGGGTGTTTTCAGGTGCACTTGTTCTAGCATCGGCTAGGAAATTAAAATAATTTATTAAGTTTTCTTATTATTATTATTATTTTTCAATTTTGTTGTATTTGATTCTCTCGCCACTTTTCCATTAATGTTGCTTTTATCTTGTGTGTTGACTGAGTTCTGCCGAGCATTTCAAAATTTCACATGAAATTCTGTTCTAATATTTTCAACATGTCATATAATAAGTTGACCATTCCACCATCCATTTTGGTCATTCTTGTAGCATGTTGGAATGGAACAAAACAAGTTCTACAGCTAACGACACCATCCCTTATACACATTGCATAAATTCCTCTTTCGTGTCAGTATGACAGCGTGACAACACTCAGCATTTTTGTTTCATATGCCAAAAGAAAGAAAAGGAAGTTTATATTAACTAGATAGGATACCAATTGTTGATCATAGTATTGAGTTTGAAATAGATTCCACTAAGTGATTCTGAGTTCTTGAACAACTAACAATGGGTTTGGTTTGTCCAAAACCTTCATGGATCTAAAATACCAGAGAAATATACAAGGGATTTTGAAGTCAATATGAAAGAGTAGAACTCATTGAAATTCATCTTCATCTTTCTATATAACTTTTCAAATCCAAGTTAAATTCAACTATTGCATACTTTTTTAGATAATAGAATATCCACTAATGATAAAACCATGTGGGGAATTCTTTGACAAGATTTGTATTAAATGTAAAAAAATAATGAGTGATTGAATGGATGGTATGCCAAAACATGTAGAAGTATTGAGATGTGTAGTCATTTGTGATAAAGTTGACTAAAATTGTTTTTCTAACGAATAAAAAAGACCATTCATGCTAATGACATACCTTTTTAACGATACCTTGGGATTTGGCGACACAGTCATGGTTATGAAAATTTTGTGGAGTCAAATGTTTTTAAGTATTAAGGTTAGGTAATTCTTTGAAAGAAGCTAAAGTAACAAAGTCGGAAAAGAGAGAATTGAGCTTTTCACATTAGTTTGAGAAGATTGAGCTTCTCAAGTGTCGGTTAATGGAGAAAATTCATAAAAAGGTAAGAATCTATTGTTGGTAGGAATGACACTGTTTGGGATAAATCATATTATTTTGGGATTTGACGACTTGATTGATTTCAAGTGCTCATATACTTACAAGAATGAAAGATTTTGTTGTGCAATACATGATTGGATATGGTTTGGATTTCTCTTAAAGTGAAACTCACTTTAGGAGTATAACATTTCCAATATTCTTCACCTTACACAAGAAAACTTTCAGAAAATTCTTTTAAGAACTTTAAATTATTATTTCATTTCAATAAAAGATTAAAAATATGGGCTTTTTCTTTTTTTGGGCTGAGATAGAAAATTTGTATGTCAAATTATGTTTGTATGGATTGAGATTAGAATTGAACGTGGCATCGTAGGCTTCAGTTTATGACTCACCATAACCCTTTAGAAATTTTTAAGTGGAGAAATAAAGTAACCAACTCAATGAAATGAACTGTTAAAGTGTTGAATATCAATATCAATTACCAGTAATATATCTAAACTTTTCATATATATTTTTTTTAAAAAAAATAAAAAATCAATCATCTTGAAAATTTCAAATATAAAAAATAGATTATTTTATTTTATTTTTATTGTTGAATAATTCTTCTATGGTCATGCCATAACCTAAAGTAGAATCTTGCTTAGATGATGCTCCTAACTTCCCATTTCCACTGCCGGAATTCTTTTTCCGAATATTACTATTTTATTGAGTAGTGCCAACAAAACCAATAATACTTGCTTAAGTAACTTCTGGGACCACATTAATATTCATCCTTTCACTCACCTATTTCTTATAAGCATAAATTCGTTTAATTCATGCTTTATTGTCATTCAAAAGTTGAATCACTTCATTGGTGTTGGCTACGATGAGAAAGTTTCTCACGTCTTCCCCATTTTTTACATTACAATTATAGATTATAGATGTAACACAGGTTTGATCCCACAACCAATTAATGTACATTTCACAAAGTCAGCATCAACAATCTAACCGCCAATATAGACAAAGAAAAGCCTATTTCAAATGCACGTATACAAATTCCAATAAAGGTTAGTTACTTTGAAGTTCCAGGACCGGGACCATCGGATTATCATATCGCCTAGGTGACACGGTGCCAAATATGGCAATTTACCTATTACAAATTTTGAATATTTATTAGTATATTATTAAAAATGGTAAACCTTAGATTAGTGAACTTTTCATAAGTTTTAAAAAAAAAATATAACCGTACTCAAACATCACCATCAAAATACAAATTAACTTAAAGTGTTGGAAACATAATTATTAATAGGCAAAACAGCAAAAAAAACCCTCGTTGTTTACCAAATCTGCTGAAAACCCCTCGTAGTCCTAAAACTCCAAAAAACCTACTTGTGGTTTGTAAAATATTGCAAAAAATCCCCCCTCCGTTAGGATTTAATGGAGGTTGTATATCACGCGCCTAAAATGCGATTTTTGGTCCATAGAGTGATATATTTCTGTATAAAATTACTAAAATACCTTGTCTACTTTTTACAACAACTTTTTCTTCCTCGTTCTTCTTCTTCCTTATTCTTATTCTTTCTTCTTCTTCCTCATTCTTTTTTCTTTATTTTAAATCCGTTAACACAACATAAATTTTACCAAATTTATCACAATTAATTGACCGGAGATGGAGATGAGAATGCGTAAGTTATTATTCACCATCGATTTATTCTTCTGTTTTACCAAACCTAGAAATACTTCTTCTTCTGTTTTTACCAAACCCAAAAATCTAAAAATTCAATTTGACATCAAAATTTGAAATCAATATAAGAAGAAAAAAAGATCTTGCTGGCAGTTGCAACACGAAAGAATTAGGAAGAAAAAATAGAGAAGAAAGAAAATTAGGGAAAAAGAGATAGAGAAAAAAAAATTGGAAAAAAAAAATTCTGATGTCCAGCCCCTTCTTTCTCCTCTTCTTCTTTCCCTTCTCTTCTTTATTCTCCTTCTTTTCTTCCTTTCTTCTTTCCTGCTCCAGTCGTTTATGCCCGTTATCTTCTTTCTTTTCTTATTCTTTTGCAATTCTTCAATCTTCAAAGAACAATTGGAGATGAAGAAGAAGAAAAAAAATTGAAGGAAAAAGAAGAAAAGAAAGAAACGGGTGAACTGCTATGGCAAAAAGAATTGGAGAAGAAGA